ATAATTTAATATGTTTTATAAATTTTTAACACTAATATATTAAAAAAAGAAAATCAGTATATCAGTCAAAAAAGAAAAATAATTTCTATCTAAATCATTTTATTAAAAATTTATATAGAAATGCTAAATTCTTAATCTGGGCATCAGGTCATTAGGATACCCATAGAATTAAAAGGACAATAAGTTTAGCCAAAAAAATACAGACAATTCCTCTATAGGTCGGGACTTATTTTACGAAGTTTACGGGTGTTCAAAACCTTTACAAAAAGAACACTACATTTTTAATCTGGACATCAGGACATGAAGATACCCAAGAGAGCTATTCATTGAACCAAACAAAAAGCAGAGACAATTCTTCTATAGGTCAGGATTTATTCTATGGACTTTGTGGGTTTTGAAGGATACTGGGTTCATTGTTCCAATATCAAGAAAAGTAGATTTCGACTCTAACATTTATAATCAAACAAACTTCTTGAGCAGTAACCCTTTTTTTTCTAGCTGCGCTACGCACTACATGCGCCATATTCTTAAATAAATTTTCACAGTGTGTACATTCTGAATTGAGGTCACCCTCACTCACATCAGTTCTTGTGTAAATAAATTTTTATAAAGTCACAATTTCATGACTTAAAGAATATAAGAATGTTATACAAGAATGGTTTCAAAAATCACTTAATTCATGAATAGGAAGAAAATAGTCTGATTAACTTCTGGCAAAAACAATAGGAATACGAAAAGCAAACAGGGTAATCCATCGTAACTTAATTACGACAAAAAGTGTCGTTAACCTTAGCAAACTAATATATATAAGTTTAGGTAATCACAGCTCACAGTTGGACGAGGTACCATTTCAGGTTGGTTTATATGCCATCGATTTCTATAGACTCTGTCATAATTATCAGCAAATGGTAAAACATGTGATATATACATAACTCACTCCGATTAGACTAGTTATGTTAAGAACTAATTATCTAAAGTCTAGAACTTTTTATTAAATACCGCTAGACTTGCATAAAATTCAACTCATAGCAGTTGACAGATTTTCTAACAATTTAGAGCTAGGGTCATTTAATGAAAAGACTGTACAAAATGCCTGTTTAAGTGAACTAACTATCTAAAAGATACTAACTTGTCATTACTGAAAAATATCAGTGCTTTATATATACCGTTCTGAGCACTTCTTCGTTGGTAACTTTTATCAATCCAAGGTATTTTCAATAGATCTATCTATAAATCTATTTTGAAACTTCTACAAACAGTGTTCTAAAAATATTTTAATAACAACAGTTAACAGTATATATAATTATTCCAAATTACTAAAATAAATTAATTTAACCAATTGCAACGAACATAACATTCTGGGTGGATATATAGTCTTCCTCGTCTCTGAAACTCTTTTTCTTTTTTTTAAAAACTACTTTGATTGTTTTTAGATCTTTAAGGAGTTATGTGGAGTTAAAACATTAGCTTCGAATCTGCTGAAGAAATTCACTTTACACTTTTATTTATACAATCCATTTGAACAAAATTTTAGAACTTTTTGTGATAGCATTTTTGGTTCAAAGTTTGCTAATTCAACATCCATTCCACAGAGGACTCTTCCACACGTTAATCATTACGCAATATTATAGGCATTTTTTTTTTATTTTACAGTATGTGGAAAGCATCACAAACCCAGTGTGAGACTTGAACCCACTACAATCAACTCTTAAAAATAAAAAGATTTCCACAGCATTCAAGAAAACTTCATTCCGGTAATCAGGGGAGAGAGATGTGAACATATAGGCTTAATACCAAGCGAGCTATGTTCATCTAAGCCAGAAAGCAGGGGCGTGAATTAGGTAGATAGGGTGATAGTAATATTGTCGACGGAAACGCCCACAACTTTATAAGTTTTTTGACCATTATTCAATGGTCAATTGAAAATCATTTAGTGCTTTAGACATTCTCTTTAGAGATAGCAGTTTGTACGCTGTATCGGTATTGATATCTGGTATCGGTTATTATTAACTAAGCTTTCAATTTACAAAGACATAGTAATTATTTGTCCATTTCTTATAATTTATTTTATTTAAAACCAACTTTTATTAATTTCCTTTACTAGTTCAGATTCTATAAATATTTTAAGTATGTAATTAGTGCAGTTCGCGTATAATACAACTTCAGGTTTTTCTAAGATAAACCCCTACGTTTCCATTAAAATTTGTTTGTCATATAGAAAATAATTCGTTATTCTTGATAAGCATCTTTAAGATTATATGCTTACATCTAACGCTATTGATATACATAAACATTGGTTATGATAGCCGGTAAATCTTGCCCCATTACATCTTATATAGCAGTAAGATTCGTTATTTGAGCGTATATTTCGTTGTCACTTTTAAATGAAGAAAAGTTTCTAAAATAAAACAACAAAGTTCTTCATTGCTTTCACAACGGAATATAGTTACATAAGTAGTATTTCTTTCAGTACAAAAATCTGAGTAATAAATAAATTTAACTTTTATCAACGTTATTAAGTTTATTTCGCTACACAAAAATGCTAGATTTGCTTTGCCAACAAAGCACTTACATTACGACATCGAATACTTTTCTAAACGAATCCAAGTACAATAATATTTATTACGATTTAGTATTTCTAAACTTTGAAAGTACTCTCATATCTATTACCTTTTGTAACTCAAGCAAAACTTCCCAAAACTTTGAGAGAATGGTATTAAAAATATAAAATTGAAGATGTTTTGGTATTCAAAATTAAAAGAATAATAAATAAAGAACTTAAATTGTAGTTAACAAAAAAATATATACAACGAAAAAAAACCTATCCACTATATACTAGTTAAAAAATATTAACTCCTAAAGGACATCATTTGCAATAAATTTTTTTAATGTGGTTATACTCAAAGTTTCAATCCTTACAACCCACAGAAATGAAAACTGATAATATAGCTTTTATCATAGAGCTTTACCGCTTTACTGAATGACGCATTTCTTCCATTTAAGGTGTAGTTCTGAATTCAAACACATCGGACTGGGCCCTTATATTCTAATTATTTGGGACTTTCTTTATTAAATACTATGTCTAATAATTGTGAAACTTGTACCTGATATTTTCCTTGTCCTATTCCTTATTCCTTAGTTCTCTTTTTCTTGCTTTTTTTAGAGACCGCATTCCATGATGATTCAATTTTCTTCTTATTAGAACGAATTTCTATAGAACTTGTATAATTAGAATAATTTAGTAATGAGAACCTACTATCCAAGACCAAAGAGTATTGCTGGATTTTACAGTGAGACAACATACATATTATCAGTTAATTGACTTGTATATATATTGGTGTGCAAAGATGTGTAAATACGTAGATATAGATTTTTATATATATTTATCTATATTTTTACATAATTATATTTTAGTATAGTTCGTTATTTAGTTCGTATTAATATCACACCTCTATATAGTTAAAGGAATTACATTCTTCCTAATAGACTTCTTTTGCAAGACATTCTGTGAATCTGACAATACTCAATACTCAAAGTGTTAATCCTTCATTGAGTATCTGTTAACTCATTCACATATATAATTGTCAGAGAAATCATTATGTAAAGATTAATATCATGTTTCCACTGCAATTATAACTATTTATGTTAATGAAATTAAGCTTTGATCGTTTCCATTGGCATAAGCTGATTTATGTAATGGAAATAACATTTTACATATAGAATATATAATAAATATTTAAAATTTTGGTGATTTTCCGTGTGGGAAATTTATTTCTAAGGATTGCATTCAACATATTTTGTTTTAAATCAGTTGATTTATTTTTAATAAACTCATTTATATGAAAGCTTAATGAGCAGAACTGCATAAGGCGCGTATTACAACTGAGGTTTATTCATTCATTTTAAGTAATGGAAGTAAAAACATCATTTAAATAGATGCAAGATTTTATTTTGTAGTGTATTTGTTGTTTTTTTAAAACAATTAAAAACTTTGCAGCCAAGTCAGTTCGACAGTCACTGTATTAACTCATGCGCCGAAAAGTATTAGATTTCAAAACGATGGTACCATTGACTTATAAAAAAATTAACTTAATAACGTAGTCTTCAGAAACGGTTCTCGTTCCCTGTTCCAGTAAATCGAATAATTTAAAGTTACCACATTCTGAGCAGGTAGTTGCAATCTGTGACTCGTGCGGACAATTCAACATCGAATTTCATCGAAAAAGATATTCGAGAAATAAATGTTATTTTTTAGAAAAACATGGTTCGAATATGATATAAAACGTTTTCTAAATTTATGATCCAAAATCGAAACAAGTTTTCTCACTTTCGACTTCCCGCATTAATAAAACGTGCCTTAACAGAATTAATACCAATTTTTAATACCAGATTTTTAATAACCTGCTAGTGGACTTTTATGGAATTGGTTTCATATAGATTCAATTTATGATATATGGAAAAACTAAAGAGTTTTAAAGTAATTAAGAATGTAACTTTTAAATCTGTAAAATAGAAAACATCTCATCAGAAGTATCCTTGGAAGGGATGATAGATATTTTTTTAGATATTTCATATTTTAATAATGAATTAACATTAATTAATTAATTTATTTATTTATTTATTTAATAATGAACACATATTCTGAAGCCAATAAAGTATTGTAACTGCGGAATATTGTTCCAGTACACGTCTAGAAGTAACTTCTTCCTACTAGTAAATATCTGATAATATGACTACTAATTTGTTCTAGAAACTCGAAAGTATAGAAAATAGTTAACTACAGTTTATTACTATTTTACTGACAATCAAAGAAATTGCATGCCATTCTATGATTAGCAGATAGTTGCGGTTACGAAATCTAAAACCATAAAGGGGTTTATGTCATAAATTACAACTTTATGACTTTAAAAACAATAACACAAAAAATGTTAAAATTTATAAGTATTTTATTACTACCTTTAAGTAATAAATAAAAATGCAAAGTGATTTGGCTGTATATATTTGTTTATTATTTTATTTGTCTCTCTACGGATTACCTATGATCTTTAAAAACACTAATTGAATATATTTTTTAATTTTCTTTCATACCACAACATGCAAAATATTATATATAACTGTGCATAATTCTTATATTCTAATATTATTTTAAATAAATAAATTAAATTATAGTTAAAAACCAGGGTCAGTTCACTGAAAACCCAATCCACATGAAGTAATCATGCTTACTACCTTCGGCTTCCATGCTTTGTACACTTATAAAGAAGTGTACGAAATCGAATCTTCCAATGAATACCCGAACGTCCCAGTGTCTTTACACAACTTTAACTCTTCCACATTCATTAGTCTACTGCTCACATAAACTGTAAAAAGAAACATAGAAATAGATTTAAATATAAATTTTTATAGTATTTTCATAAAAATATAAGTTTCATTTCAGTAGTAGTAGTCTCTAAACGAATTAAATATTGATAAATATTTACCTTTGTTGTATTTGAGAGGACTCGAGGACTCCTAGTGAATCCTCCAATTGTTTTAAAAGCCTTTCCGTCACTTCTGCTCAGTTAAAAGACTTTTTGATCTTCATTTTCTTCTAAATTAGGAAAAACGATAGATTATTTCCATCTAGCGTAGTCTAGATAAGCTATAAAGCGATATAACCAAATACGCTTTCGATTACCTGAATTTAAATTTAATTATTGAACAAATTTAATTAATTATTAAATTTTTAATTAAAAACATTTCAAGTACCAAACGCGTTAAAAAGTCTCTTCTTCAGAAAACAGTCACCATGATCTGTAGTAGTTGCATTAAGGCTTAGCTCTACATCATCCTACATTTCAGTTTAATTTTTGTTCATTTGGTTCTCTTCCAGTAATAAGCTGACCAAGGTGCTTTTGATCCAACTTATATACAGAGGTCGATCAATTTTTATTGGCATTATGTAGCAAAATTATGTAGCAGCTCTCGCTTACAACCCACAGAAATGAAAACTGATAATACAGCTTTTATTATAGAGCTTTACCGCTGTGCTTCATTAGATCATCTGAAAGATACCTTCACCGAATGACGCATTTCTTCCATTTAAGGTGTAGTTCTGAATTCAAATACATCGGACTGGGCCCTTATATTCTAACTCTTTGAGACTTTCTTTATTAAATACTATGTTCAATAATTGTGAAACTTGTACCTGATACTTTCCTTGTCCTATTCCTTATTCCTTAGTTCTCTTTTTCTTGCTTTTTTAGAGACCGCATTTCGTCATGATTCATTTTTCTTCTTATTAGAAAGGAACTTCTAAACTTAGAATAGTTAACTAAAGGGAACCTACTATCCAAGACCAAAGGGTAATACTGGATTTTTCATCTACATAAAATAACATACTTAGTTAGTTGGTTAGTTAGTTGATTTGTATTTATATTTGTATGCAAAGATGTATACATATATAGATGTAGATTTTTATATAAATTTATCTATATTTTTGAATAATTAAATTTAGGTATATAGTTCGTTATATAGCACTTTAAATAATATATATGCTATGTGGCTTCAGATGTCATTTGGAAAATTAGTTGAGTGTTTACTATATGAATTGAGTATAGAAATGCTTATAAAAAAATTCAGATTTAGAAAAAGATTACAAAGAAAATAAAACTCAAAAATAAATTTGTAAATTAGAATTAAAATTCAGCAAATTAGAAAAGAAATTTTGATATAAATAAATTACGTATTAGTTAAATTACAAATTATTTTAAAAGCATTTATAAACCACTTACTAGTAATCAGTGTTTTTAATACCCGCATGGTGCCAGATTCTATAGTAATAAAACCCTTATCCGCCTCTTACGGGACATCAGCTGTCACTTCTATGTTAACGTACAAAAAGAGATATTATTGTTTTTATGTAAAGTTTTTACCACTCGTTGCTGTTTACCTAACATGTATTGACTAAGACTGATAATGTTGGATCCAATAATTTCCTTACTTGTTTTTCTTACTTTTGTTCCGTTGGTCATTGAAACTCAATTCCACGTCTTTGACCTCTTTGACACTACGTTCAGTATGGAAGATCGATTTCAAAGCATTTTGGCCAAAGCAAGATTTTAGACTCCGAAAATAGTGCCAATATAATGAGCATAAAATTTTGAATTTGTTTCCGAAAACTTTTAAAATCACAAAATTTTTTTTGGATTTAATCTAACATATAAAAAAAACAGAATCGAATAACTGAAATTTATTTAAACTATGCATTCTACGTTAAAAATTTTTAAAATCGAATGACAAATACATATATCAAGTTATCATTTTCAATCCGTAGTAATTTGAACAACTTTTTTTTATTTGCAGGTTATAGATTTTTGTTTAATGCTCACTCCCCGACATTTTTATAAATTAGTGACATATAAAAAAAATAATCAAATTTACTTTTTGAAATAGACCAATAGCTAATACTTTCTGGAAAATGGGATTCTTCAGTATACTAAATTTCTTGAAATACTCATTGCTGGTCGCTATCATATTCAAAAATGATTAAAATACTAGGTCTGTTCCACGAGTTACTCGCAGTAAACCTCAAGTAAAACGCAAGTAAAATTAAGACGAAAATTTGTTGATGGAGCGCACTTGTGTTTACACAGTGTCACTCAAAGTTACTACGAGTAGCTCGTGGAACAGACCTATTATTTCCAACAAATTTAAATGTAAATCAACATTAGTTCAAATATTATCTGGTGTATACGTTATATTTAGTAACGAGTAATGAGTGTCATAACTAATGTTATATTGTTACAATAAATGGATCAGTTAATGTCTTGCCTTTTTCATTTGATTGATTCTTATAATCATTCCACACTTTGATATCTGTGTCCTGAAAAATTGAAGTCATAGCCTTTACGATTGATGGAATGAAGACGATCGTCTTCATTGGAGCAAGTTCATTAAGTCAAACTCCATGTTTCGATTGTTTTTTTTTTGTTTTCCGATAATGTTGATATATACATGTCTCATATATATGAGACACTACGCTGATATTGCTTAGAAATGATTGAATGTGTGTGCGCGTGCCTGCAGTAGTTTTGCTACCTTCCTTCGGTAGTGATGATTATACCTCACCACGTCATGGAATTTTTCCACGATGTACTCCATGTTTCCATGTTTCGACTATTTTTTTTTTGTTTTCCGATAATGTTGATATATACATGTCTCATATATATGAGACACTACGCTGATATTGCTTAAAAATGATTATATGAGTGTACTCGTGCCTGCAGTAGTCTTGCTACCTTCCTTCGGTAGTGATGATTATCCCTCACCATGTCATGGAATTTTTCCACGATTTACTCATATTTGCTCCCCTATTTTTTCTGCCCAAAAATTTTTATTTATGCAGTAAACATTTTTAGAATAATTGTAATGTTTAACTTGTCACATAAAACTTCATTTCAAGTAATCATATCCAAAATTCAGTAAATATGCACATAAATTTAATTTAAAAATTCTTCAGTATTCAGTATTTTGTCGCTATTCGACTGTGATTCCATATCTATATATTTATTAATATTAATTAAATGTATCAATGAATACATACTTAAGAGAGTAAAAATAAATATCGCTCCCATTAAGGAAGGTAATTATGTGAGAAATAGAAATTTCGTTTATTCCGAAATTTATTCGAATAATTTTTTGTTAAACAGCAACAAAATGTGTTAACAGCAAATTGCGGACTTGTCTTATATTTTACTATTAAAAATCGTCGTCAAAATATACAACCTCAAGTATTTGTTGTATAACGAGCGACAAACTGAAAACAGCTTTATTAAGCACCAAGTGTTTTTGACTTGAACGCGTTTGGAATACTGAATGAGCCCAGTTTCAGATACAAATATACAAAAAATTTATAATTATTTTTTTCACAAATGCACATATACATTATATTTATATGAACGATGGCTTCCAGCGAAGACCGCTTAACATTTTAAAATTTTGAAAACTTTTCATATTTAAAATCCACAAAAACGTTATCTCAGATCTTCAAAAAATTGTACTGAAATCAGTTATGTATGTAGAAATATATTAATTTATTTAATTTTGGACACTATGTCCAATAAATATTGATATTATAAATTCACTTGGACGTAGGAGCAGAGCCGTAGGAGGTCGACATTGGGGAATTGAGTTTGTGCTTAAGGTAAAAAAATTTGAAAACACAATAATCCCCCTATAATCCATTAGATTGGTTCTGTGTTATAAGAAAATGCGTTATAGGGTTATTCCCGTATACCCCGTATACACACGTACCAAGGTACGAGAAACTAATTATGAACTGTACAGATCCACGCGTTAAATGGCGGAATGCTCATGTTATACGGGGGATTGAAAACCCGTAATAGGGTTTATCCGGTTATCCGGAATTAAATATCATAAATATACAATAAATTAATATATTATTTGTCGCCTCATCAAGTGCAATAAAATATATATATATGTAATATATTTTATTATATAATTAATACTTTATATATTGGTTTACCAAATGTAATGCAACTATATCACCACTTAAGCCAAACCATCTTTTATTTTTCATAGACGTTGACGTTGTGCTATCGCACAACACTTAAAAGTATAATTGAAAAAATACCTAATCTAAATATGCAAATATGATGAAAAAATACAAACATTTGTGAACAAATGTTTACCTCAAATATTAAGAATATGGTAGCCCAATTGCATTACAAATACCAAACTATGGACCTTTACAAATCAATCACCTAATACTGTTGAGATAAGAAGACGCAAATAGCGCAGACCCAATGAAAATATTGCACGCCAAACTCTGTGGTGAAATCTTCAAGGCAGTCGTCGACCTGGAGCGCCAGCTAAAATTTAGAGGAGGAGAATTGAGGAAGAGCTAGGAGAATCCAATTATTCCTGGAATGGTATCTGCCGAGAATCAAATAACAGAATCCAATAAAAAAGGATGGAAAAGGTCCTATGCTCCACTGGGAGTTGAGGATTAGAGAGAGAGAGAGAGAGAGAGAGAGAGAGAAAGAAATAAGCAAATAATATAGTATTGTGCCACCAAGTTATAGAAAAAATAAATACTGTTATTATCTATTATGGCTGGTTTTAAATCAAAAATATCGAATATTTTGTAAACTGAATATATCGAGCCATATCGAGCCATATTTTTTTAGGAACTAAAAAGAAAAGTTACTACTTTTCTGTTTCTAATAATATGAGAACGTAGTCTAGCAAGTTTTTGATTGCCATAGTGAAATGATAGTGTGATAAAATATTTGTCAAAAATAAGTCCAATATCTGTTTCCACTCAACTATTTTTTGAGCCGTACTTGAAATGATTGATCCATGTGAAGAAGTCAGTATCGATTGTAGTTTTTGAGATACATCCTGAAATAAATGGAAAATTGTTATTCCAGGGTTTAGCATGAAAGTTTCGTAGACCCTTTCGCAACGATTAACATATATGCTCAATATAAATTTTCATGAATATTCATGTTAAATTTACTACCGAGTAAAAAATAATTAAATAAATTAAAAAATTTATTTGACAAATTTGTGTCTTTTATTTAAATTTGAAATAATACACCATTTTTTAAATATCTTCGAAAGTATGATTCCAAATCTTAAACTTAATATAAGTTAATGTAAAATAATTCAAGTTATTTTAGTTAATTTGTTTCCAACAAAAGTTTAATATAATTATAAAACAATTAAAAATAAATTGCAATATAATCACAATATGATTTTAATACAATCATATGTTGTTGTAGTTCACTATATATATACATATCTATAAAGAAAATACTGTATATTATATAGAATTTTAAGACTGCTATAGATGATTAAAGATTGTTTATAATATAATTATATTTTTAGACCTTTAGGCCTTATATATATATATATATATATATATATAGATCATTGTTATAGATCTTTAAGATTGTTCATAATATAATTATATATTTAGGCCTCTTTGAAACACAAACAGACTCTTTAATGATCTATAACAATCTACAAATCTAATCTAATATACAGTATTTTCTTTCTTAGTACTAATCCAGTCGTTGATACACATTGGGAAGCTTTCTGTTTTCTCCACCTTAATCATTATCACACAGTATTATTAATTTTCATATTCTTCTAATATATGCTTCAAAAATATATCGGTTTTGCCTGCAAGATCTATTTTTTGCAAAATAAATAGCAAATAAATGAAACATCCTCATCTGTACGATCTCCAATTATTTGATAACACCAGATATCAATCATTGAAATTTTGTAAAAATCTTATTTATATATATATATATATAATAATATTTATACCATATATATACTTTTAACATATATACATAACGCCAGATATCAGTCATTGAAATTTTGCAAAAATCTAATATATATATATATATAATAATATATATACCATATATATATATACTTTTAACATATGTATATACATAACGCCAGATATCAATCATTGAAATTTTGCAAGAATCTTATATATAAATATATATATATGTATATATACCATATGTTTATAAATACCATATGTATACTCTTAACATATATACATAACATATATATGTTATGTATATATGTTAAAAGTTATCATTATAGCGCGAAATATTCAAATAGATTTTTATATATCAATCTTATATACTCGGAAATTGATAAATTTGAGTCAATTTAGTGTTGGATCAATATACCTAAAAACTCCAAATTAAATATTTTTTGTTATGCACTTTTGTTTTAAACCAATTTGATGAAAACTAATTATTTACTCTGTTACGGTCACAAATTTACTCTACACGTTTTTATCGGTGCAATTTTCCATGTATCTGTTTCCATCAATTATATCCATCTGCTTAACATATTCAACAAATATTCCAAACTTATCGTTATAGACCGTAAAAACTGCTGTTATCTGCTCATTGCAATGAACTTTAAAATTGCATGAAAAATTGCTGACCGCAGCAATGCAACTTTACACTCCCTTCATTGCCGGTGCACAAGTCGGAAACGACGTGGGAACGTTCGACTGACAGTCCGCGGTGCTAAGCCAATCTATCGCAAAGCTGAACAGATATCAATATACAGATATATATAATGTCGCTTTATTAGTGCCCGCAATATTACGAGTATTACTTTAGCTTGTTTTATGGG